GATACAACAACAATCAGATACAGCACCCATCACGCAGGCTAATGTCTCAGAGCACTTACTAATAATCCTTGCATTTGACATTTTGCCTTACCACGTCGTTGAGACGTCTCAAAGCGCTTCACATTATATACTGTAAAGTGAATTGACTGAGTATATTGTGGGCCATCATGCTTCCCCTAAACCTGCCTGTGAACCCTATATACCCGTACTTTAGCTATTCTGAGAACCACTAATCTAGTCTTTCTTTACAGGTTTTCCAAAGTTTGGATTACTAGCGATTTCAGTAAATAAGAATCAAGCTTTTATGATCTCCAAGAAGTTAGTGGACAATAAACCATCACCTGGAGTGACCCAGCACAATGGCCTTTCCCATCCAAGACAGCAGGGAAAGTTTAACAGTGTCAACATACAGTACTCAAGTTAACTTTCACACAGCCTTAGTTACTAACATTATGCTTAGAGCTCAGGAAAGACCAATGTTTATCTTGTTAATGTTTCACTTCTGACAAACCACGATTTGGGTAACCATTTTGCTGCAACACAATAGTCCAGTTACCTGAAACAAACTGTGTATTTGAGGCCATTCAGCCACTGTTAGGACAGCTCTGTCAGACTAACACACGTTGGGTGTCAGCCTGGCTCAGTGGTCGTGCTTTCGCCTCTGAGTCCATGTCCTATTGGGCACAAAGGACTTTCTTAGCACAAACTCATCACATGCATCTTTTTCCATACGCATAAGAACATAAGGATGCTACATCAAAGGACAAAAACATCAAAGGATGCACACTATCTACTATTTTATTTAGACTATTTTCGGATGCTTACCTATGAGAGCATATTAATAAAAATAGTCATTTTATAGTAATTTTGACCGTACCCAATAACCCCGCAGATCAATTTCAAGATGTTTACCATAAAATCCCTTCATCATCTGTGCTCGACCCCTACAATCTCCTCTGACTCGCCTCGTATCCTCATAAACAGGTTGCATAAACTTGGTCTGTATTCCCGTGAGTTTAGAAGTTTGAGGGGTGATCTGATTGAGGCGTTTAAAATAATAAAGGGATAGCTGATAGGGTAGCCACAGAGAAACTATTTCCTCTGATGGAGAATCCAGAACAAGAAGCATCCTCTTAAAATTAGAGCCAGACCATTTAGGAGTGAAATCAGGAGGTGTTTTTTCACCCAAAGGGTGGAGGAAATCTGGAACTCTCTCCCCAAAAGGCTGTGGACGCTGGATCCATTCACCTTGTCAAGACTGAGGTGGACAGATATTTGTTAGCTCAGGGTATCAAGGGATATGGGGTAAGGGCAGGTAATTGGAGTTGAGGTACAGATCAGCCGTGATCTTATAGAATGGCAGAACAGGCTCAAGGGGCTGAATGGCCTACTACTGTTTCTATGTTTCTGTTTTTTTCACTTTGATTCATACTGTCCATCCCATCAGCTCGCTTGCTTAATTCCCCTAATCCCTTAGCTTTTCACCTTCTCTTTGTCTTCAAAAGCCCTCTTTTTTAAAAAAATTCTTGGCCACATTCTCAAATTTCTTGCCTCCAGTGTTGTGGTGAAGCAGAAGTGAAAGATATCTGTTACCCAATTAGCCTGGTTAATCTTTACTTAAGACATAATGTAAGTGGTGACATCAATACAATGAAGAAGAAGAAGGTTTCGGGAATACCAGCCCAGCCTGAGCCGAGGCCTCCACAAGCAAACCTTGTTGTAAAAGAACTCCAGTGGTAGAACAGTCAGATCTCTCTAACAATAATTGCTCATGGAGATGACAAGGGATTTTTGTTGTCAGCTGGGTGTCTGACACGATGCTGAAGAGTATCCAAATCAAACAGAGTTCCACATATGTCTGCCACTTACACATGGAAATTTTACCTCTGTATGGAATGGAATGCACCCTTTCTCCCTGGAGGGACGCACTCTGCTCACCTAACTCCAGAGAATATTAGGCATGGGTTGGTGAGTCAAGGCTTGGGGATACCAGACTGTGTATTGGAATAGCTCCTAGACCAGCTAAAACCTGATAGCTTACCATTAAGAACACTGTCTGGCAAGCTTCCTGACTTTGGTCCAGCTAGGTCCACCCTACCCTCTAAGGGCTTGGAGTTCTGTGGACCTGCCTGGCTTGTCAACCGGACCACTGAGACGTCACAGAGGATTAATACAATTCTGACGTTCTGTTGCCAAGAATATCCGCCTGGATGTCAATCCAGCTTCAGGAAACCCGCTTAATAATAATAATCTTTGCATTTGATATATCACCTTATCATATCATTGAAACATCTCAAAAAGAGTTTCACAGAATATACTGTAAAGTGAATTACATTTATTTGTGGGTGAAATGCGGCAGCCAATTGCACACAGTGTCCCACAAACTGTCGTGGATTGAGTGACCAAATTTTTTTATATATAGCACTTACACCTAGAAAAGCAATCTTCCAATCGACTAACACGTGGGGAGCTCGGTAAACAGAAGCGTGTGTGTGAAGTATGCAGTAAGTTTGTGGAGCTGACCTCCTCCCCAAGGATAGTCAGATGAAGAGGGAGAAAGACCAGAGCATATTGCGTTCTGCCCTAAATCTATTCTTGACCAATACTAAAAACTGTCCAGATGCCCCTGGACTACCCAATTAGCCTGGTTTACTCAGGATATCATGTAAGTGGTCACATCAATACAATGATAAACAAGGTTTCCAGCCTCACCAGACACTAAATATCCCAGAGAACTCAGTGCCAAAATTCAATTTCAGCTGCTGCTGGCGAGCTTTCCTGCTGCTTGTCCAGCGAGGACCACCCTACCCGTTGGACGCCTTGTCTTGCAGGGTTAGCAGGACCTGAGTGGGATGACTCCCTGCCCCCAGTGACTGCTCTGCCCTTCCAGGTCCTGCTGATGAGCCAGGCCGGGCTGTGCTGCCATCAGCAGTGTGTGCCCTGGAATACTGTGGACCGGTCTGGCTCCGGAACTGACCTAACAAGACCATCTCAGAGGGCTGAATAGATTCTGGCATTCCACTGCCAGACATGTCACCTCGGAGCCAGTGCAGCTCCAGGGAAACCCCACTTACCTCCCCCACCATGGGGGGGGGATCACCATTAAAAGGAAAGAGAATCCATTGCACTAATTCAAAACCTTGTTTTTGCAGGAGCTCAAACAAGTCCCACCTAACAGTCTGGTAAGAAGCAGAAACATTACAGCTTAAAAGCCCAAACAAACCGGGTTCAAGTCAAAATCTTAAGATATGAATTTTCTTCAAACAAGTCCACATGTTCCAGTCCGGGTTTACCCGCGACAGTCAGCGCAGCAACCACAGCAACGCTGGGCTCTGCGGGTACAGAGGGGGGCATCAGCAGACACAGGCCAAGTCAATCACAGTGTCCAACCTGCCCAGCCCGGCCCCAGCCCTGACCGAAACAGCACTGACCCTGCCCAGCCCTGACCCTGCCCAGCCCTGACCCTGCCCAGCCCTGCCCTAACCAGCCCTGACCCTGCCCAGCCCTGCCATAACCAGCCCTGACCCTGCCCAGCCCTGACCCCAAACCTGCCCTGACACTGCCAGCCCTGCCCTAACCAGCCTAACCCTGCCCAACCCTAACCCTGCCCAGCCCTGACACTGCCCAGCCCTGCCCTAACCAGCCCTAACCCTGCCCAGCCCTAACCCTGCCCAGCCCTGAACCCAAACCTGCCCTGACACTGCCCAGCCCTGCACTAACAAGCCTAACCCTGCCCAGCCCTAACCCTGCCCAGCCCTGACCCTGCCCAGCCCTGACCCTGCCCAGCCCTGACCCTGCCCAGCCCTGCCATAACCAGCCCTGACCCTGCCCAGCCCTGACCCCAAACCTGCCCTGACACTGCCCAGCCCTGCCCTAACCAGCCCTAACCCTGCCCAGCCCTAACCCTGCCCAGCCCTGACCCTGCCAGCCCTGACCCTGCCCAGCCCTGACCCCGCCCAGCTCTGACCCCGCCCAGCCCTGAAACCAGCCCCGACCCCAGCCCTGCCCTAACCAGCCCTGACCCTGCCCAGCCCCGACCCAGCCCTGCCCTAACAGCACTGACCCTGCCCAAACCTGACGCCACCCTGCCCTGACCCTGCCCAGCCCTGACCCCGCCCAGCCCTGAAACCAGCCCCGAACCCAGCCCTGCCCTAAACAGCCCTGACCCTGCCCAGCCCCGACCCACCTGCCCTTGCCCAGCCCTGACCCCACCCTGCCCTGACACTGCACAGCCCTGACCCCAACCCTGCCCTGACCCTGCCCAGCCCTGAACCCGCCCAGCCCTGACCTAACCAGCCCTGACCCCAGCACAGTCACCAGCCCTGACTCAGCCAGCCCTGAACCCAGCCCTGCCCTAGCCCTGCCAAGCCCAGCACAGCCCCAGCCCCAGCCCTGCCCAGCCCAGCCCTACGCTGCCCCAGCCCAGCCCAGCCCAGCCCTGCCCCAGCCCAGCCCTGCCTGCCCCGCCCTGCCCTGCCCCAGCCCAGCCCAGCCCAGCTCTGCCCCAGCCCTGCCCTTCCCCAGCCATGCCCCAGTTCTGCCCCAGCCCTGCCCTGCCCCAGCACTGCTCCAGCCAGCCCTGCCCCAGCCCTGCCCTGCCCCAGCCCAGCCCCAGCCCAGCCCCAGCCCAGCCCAGCCCTGCCCCAGCCCTGCCTGCCCCAGCCCAGCCCTGCCCTGCCCAGCCCTGCCCCAGCCCAGCCCCAGCCCAGCCCTGCCCCAGCCCTGCCCCAGCCCTGCCCTGCCCCAGCCCAGCCCTGCCCCAGCCAGCCCTGCCCCAGCTCTGCCCCAGCCCTGCCCTGCCCCAGCCCAGCCCTGCCCCAGCCCAGCCCTGCCCCAGCCCTGCCCCAGCCCTGCCCCAGCCCAGCCCTGCCCCAGCCAGCCCAGCCCAGCCCTGCCCAGCCTGCCCCACCCCCAGCCCTGCCCCAGCCCAGCCCTGCCCCTGCCCCTGCCCAGCCCAGTGACCCCCCGGCGCTGGTGGGCGCTGTGCCCCCGGTGGGTACCTTGATGGTCTCTCCCTGTAGATTGACTGTTTTCTCGCGGAAATCCACTCCGATAGTGGCCTCGGTTTTGTCGGGAAAGGTTCCTCCGCAGAAGCGGAAGGTCAGACACGTCTTCCCCACATTGGAGTCTCCGATGACGATGATTTTGAAGATCCGCACCTGGACCGAGAGCTCCAGCCCCGGGCGGGGGGGGGGGCGGGGGGAGGGGGCAGGGCGGGGGCCGGGGGGGGCGGGGGGGGGAGGGGGGGCAGGGCGGGGGCCGGGGGGCGCGGGGGGGGGAGGGGGAGGGGGGGCTCCGCTCAGCCGCACCCACAGACAGGTTTGCCATCGTGGACATCTCTCTCTCTTTGTGTGTGTGACAGTGGCACAGCTCTCTCTCTCTCTCTCTCTCTCTCTCTCACTCCTTCCCCCCTCTCTCTCTCTCTCCCTCCCTCCTTCCCCCTCTCTCTCTCTCCCTCCCTCCTTCCCCCTCTCTCTCTCCCTCCCTCCTTCCCCCTCTCTCTCCCTCCCTCCTTCCCCCTCTCCCTCCCTCCTTCCCCCTCTCTCTCTCTCTCTCTCCCTCCCTCCTTCCCCCTCTCCCTCCCTCCTTCCCCCTCTCTCTCTCTCTCTCCCTCCTTCCCCCTCTCCCTCCCTCCTTCCCCCCTCTGTCTCTCTCTCCCTCCCTCCTTCCCCTCTCCCTCCCTCCTTCCCCCCTCTCTCTCTCTCCCTCCCTCCTTCTCCCCTCTCTCTCTCTCCCTCCTTCGCCCCCCCCCCCTCTCTCTCTCTCCCCCCTCCCCCCTCTCCCTCCCTCCCTCTCCCCTCTCTCTCTCTCCCCCCCTCCCCCCCTCTCCCTCTCTCCCCAATAAAACAATTCTAAAACCCTCGTTCCCCCCCAATAACCTGAGGATTTGCTTTTCTTTTGTACGGAAAAAAAATTAAATATAAAACGATCGCATTAAACTGAGATTCCAGCGGCGCAGAGACCCATTTTCTACTAAATTATACAAACATGGATTGCGGATCAAACTGGACCCCCTTTCCCCTTCTCTCTCCCCCTTTCTCTCTCTCTCTCCCCTTTCCCTCTCTCTCTCTCCCCCTTTCCCTCTCTCTCTCCCCCTTTCCCCTTCTCTCTCCCCCTTTCCCTCTCTCTCTCCCCTTTCCCTCTCTCTCTCCTCTCTCCCCCTTTCCCCTTCTCTCTCCCCCTTTCCCCCTCTCTCTCCTCTCTCCCCTATCCCCCCCTCTCTCTCCCTCCCTCCCTCTCTCCTCCTCTGTGCTCCGGGGTGTGTACCAGACACCAGCAATAGGGCAAACTGCCGCAGTGATGGACTCAGTCTCTCTCCACAGGACAAAGCTCCCAGTCTGTGTGTGTGTCTGTGTGTGTGTCTGTGTGTCTGTCACCCCCCAAGGGGCGCTCTGTAGCCCCCCCACCCCCTCCCTCTCTGGCTGAAGGTAATGCAAAGCTCTCTTGATATTAATTAATAAAAATCCTGGCATTTGATACTGCGCCTTATCCCGTCTTCGAGACGTCTCGAACCCCTTCACAGATTATACTGTAACGTGTTTATATTTTGACCGCAGTGTCCCTCCAGTCGGGGACTGAGTGACCACATTATTTTTATGTCTGGGTATTATTACCCCCGGAATAAGCAATCCGCCGATCGACTAACAACCGGGTTCCGAGTTACTCCTCCAGTTGGAGGCTAAACACAACCCGAAAGTCCTTTTTTCCACCACCCATTACCTCCTCCGTGCCCCCCCTCAGGGCTCCTCAATCTTCACATCCAGTGCCAAGTGCGAGGAGGTCATGGACTTCTTCTCATCTAAAATTCACAAAATCCGCCAGACAGCCTCATCCACCTATCTCTTGTCACCCACCACCACCCCCTCTCCGTCCCCCTCACCCATCATCTGCTCCTACCACCTCCCCTATTCTACATTCCTTGCTCCCCATCTCTCCCTCCTCCCTCTCACTCACCATCACCTCTATGAAACCCACCACCTGCGGCCTCGACACCCTCCCCACCAATTTACTGGTCACACAGCTCCCCCTCCTCAACCCACTACTCCCTCTCCTCCAGTCACTGCCTCCCTCAAAACTGCTGTCATCACCCCCCTCCTCAAAAATCCCTCCTTAGATCCCTCAAACCCCAGCCATTACTGCCCCATTTCTAACCTGCCCTTCCTCTCAAAAGTTCTAGATCGCGTTGTTGCAAACCAACTTCGCGCAAACCTCTCCTCCCACTCCCTCTTCGAACCCCTTCAATCCAGTTTCCACCCTGACTGCCCACAGTGAAAGTCACAAACGACATCCTCTCTATCTGTGACCAGGGCTCCCTCTGCTTCTTTGTCCTCCTAGACCTCTCCGCGGTGTTCCACACAGTCGGTCACGCCATCCTCCTCCACCGCCTTTCCTCCATCATCCACCTCAGTGGGACCGCACTCGCCTGGTTCAAGTCCTACCTCACCAACCGCCAGCAGTACATCTGCACAAACAGCTTCTCCTCCCACTCTCACCCGGTTACCTGCAGGTACCCCAAGGATCCATCCTGGCCCCCCTCCTCTTTCTGATCTACATGCTCCCTCTTGGGGATGTCATCCACAGACATGGGGTACATTTCAACATGTATGCAGATGACACCCAACTCTTATTTTTCCACCTCTGTTTGCGACCCCCAGTCCCCTGATGTTTGTCAGCTGCCTGTCAGACCTCAGGGGTTGGATGAGCGCAAATTTCCTTCAACTGAACCTCGACAAGACGGAAGACATACTCTTTGGCTCTCGTCAACGTCTCAAATCCCACGGCTCTCACCTCCTCCACCTACCCGACCTCCCCCTAAAACTCTCCAAACCCGTACACAACCTTGGCGTCAGGTTCGACCCCCAATTGTCCTTCCTCCCCCGCATCCAGTCCCTCACCAGCACCGCTTTCTTCCACCTCTGACGCATCGCTCGTCTCCGCAAATACCTCTCTCTGAAGGCCGCTGAAACCCTGTCCAGGCCTTCATCAGCTCTCGGCTGGACTACTCTAACGTCCTCCTCGCCGGTCTCCCATTCACCACCATCCATAAAATCCAAATCATTCAGAAATCTGCCGCCCGCATTCTCACCCGCACCAAACTCCGCTCCCCGATCCCCCCAGTCCTGGCCAGACTGCACTCGCTCCTGTCCCAGAGAGGATCCACTTCAAGATCCTCACCCTTGTATTCAAGTCCCTGCACTTCTCTGCACCCCCCGACCTCTCTAACCTCCTCTCTCCTCAAAACAGTACCCATTGCTTTCGTTCCTCCGGCTCTGGCCTCCTCCTCGTCCCCCAAGTCCTCCGCTCCACTCTCGGTGGCCGTGCCTTCAGCCACTATGCCCCGAGGCTCTGGAATTCCCTTCCTCACTCCCTTTGCCTCGCCCCCTCTCTTCCTACTTTCAGATCCCTATTGAAGACCTTTCTCTTCAACCGGGTCTTTGGTCACCTTCCTCCCCCTCCCTCTGGCTCCTCCCCCTCCCCTCGGCTCCTCCCTCTCCCCTGGCTCCTCCCCCTTCCCTGGCTCCTCCTCCCTGGCTCCTCCCCTGGCTCCTCCCCATGGCTCCTCCCCCAGCTCCTACCCCCTCCCCCAGCTCCTCCTCCTCCCCTGGCTCCTCCCCCTTCCCCTGGCTCCTCCCCATGGCTCCACCCACTGGCTCCTCCCCAGCTCCTCCCCCTCCACTGGCTCCTCCCCCTTCCCCTGGCTCCTCCCCACGGCTCCTCCCCCTCCCCCGGCTTCTCCCCCTACCCCGGCTACTCCCTCTCCCCCGGCTCCTCCCCCTCCCCCTGGCTCGGCCCTGGGATTCATTACTGTGAAGCGCTCTGAGACGCCGTCCGGTGTGGGGGGCACCATATAAATAAATCCAAGTTGCCTTAGGTTCCCCCACCCCCCCGCTCTGCCCGGGATTCAAACCCGGATCCTCTCGCATACGAGGCGAGAGCCTTAACCAGTACATTACAGGGCACTGTGTACATTATTGCAGCATTTGTTGAACAGTTTAAAAAAAACTCAAATTAATTTCTTAATTTCCATAATGTTGCAATGAATATTACCAACCATGTTTATTTCCTGGCTTTACTTCCCCGAGCACTTTCACAGAAGTGACTGCACCAATCAAAAGGTTGCTGTGGATGGTTCAGTAGCCCGCAAACATCATTTACCCTCCGAGCCACTATTTTGCGCATTGGATATTGCTCTTGCCTCTGAGTCAGAAGGTTGTGGGTTCAAGCCCCCACATCAGGAACCTCATTGTCCAAGCGCACTCTCCAGTGCAGGGCTGGGGGAGCTTTGCATTGTCAGGAGGTGCCGTCCTTTGGATGAGATGTTAAACCCAGGTCCCATCTGCCTGTTCAGGTGGATATTAAAGATCCCGTAGCGCTATTCAAAAAGAGAAGGGAGTTTCTCTTTCCCAGTGTCCTGGCCAACAATCCCCCAAATAAAATTGGTCACTCCCTCCACGACTCTTTGTGAGACACTGCTGTGCGCAACTGGCTGCCGCATTTCATCCATAAAATACAGTCAATCTACTTTACTGTGTTGACAAAGCGATCTCGGACCACCACTTCATCTCCATTAACTCCTCAATCCTTCTCCCCACCGCCACCCAACCCAATCCCATCTCCTACCAACCCTGGAAAAAATCTCCCCCCCCCCCCCACCACCTCTTGGCGGCCTTGGAGTCATCTGAACACCTTCCCCTCTGGGCTTCCTCCCGCATTGACCTATCCTCCTCGGTCACTCTTCTCCGCAGCTCCCTCTCCTCCACTCTCAAATCCCTTGCTCCCTTCGCTTCCCAAAACATCTCCTATTCATGTAAGTCACCATGGTACACCAGCCACCTCCGCTCCCTTAAACCACAGTTGTGTGCCGCTGTGTGCACCTGGCTTGAATCACCTCCGCTAAATCGTTGTTCTACTCCAAGACAGTTTTGGAGCCAAGGACAACCCCAGGTTCCTCTTCTTCATCACCAACCACCTCCTCCACCCAACCTTTCACGCCTCGCCCATCCTCACCTCCAATGCCAATTTTGAGGCAATGCTGGACTTCCTCGAATCCAAAGTAGAGCGGATCTGCTCAGCTGCCTCTGCCCTTCCGTCTACTACCCCCTCCCCATCTCTCCCCTCCCCATCTCCCCCTCCAACACTGGCCCTACCCATCCCTCCCTCCACCGCTTCAAACCTGTCTCCC